AATCCCCAGTGGGGGTGTGCAAGAGGCAGCTGATCGATGACTCTCTCTCATCGATGTTTCTGACTCTCTCTCTCCCTTCCTATCTGTACAAAATCAATAAAATATATTTTAAAAAAAAATATATATATATAAAACCAAATCCACTACTTCTCCCCAACCCACTCTTCCCATTATCCTTTGTTTTGACACGTTATCCAAATCCTCTTGCTATACAAGTCAGACAGAAACCTGGGACCATCTGATCCTTCTTGAACTCTCAATTAGTTACCAAATTCTAATTCTTCTAACTCCAAATATGTTTCTGGAGCTGAGACCCATTTCTATATTCCCAATGCCGTCGCCCATCATTTTTTTTTTTTAATTTAAAATCTTTATTGTTTAGCCGAAGCTGGTTTGGCTCAGTGGGAGAGCGTCGGTCTGCGGACTGAAAGGTCCCAAGTTCGATTCCCATCAAGGGCATGTACATTGGTTGCGGGCACATCCCCAGTAGGGGGTGTGCAAGAGGCAGCTGGTCGATGTTTCTCAACAACGTTTCTAGCTCTGTCCCTTCCTCTCTGTAAAAAATCAATAAAATATATACATTTTTTAAATTCTTTATTGTTTAAATAAAGTATTACATAAGTCTCCTTTTTCCCCCATTGACCTCTCCCCGGCCGCCCCCACCCCCCAGCACATTCCATCACCCTCCACTCCTGACTGTGACCAATGGTTATGTTCATATGCATGCATACAAGTCCTTTGGTTGATCTCTTATACCTCCGCCCATCACTTTTTAACCAAAATGTTATTACATAAGGCTTCCAAATAGCCTCCCAGGCCTAATCTTTTAATTACTAAGTTATTCTTTTACAGATATATAAACCACATTAAAGTACATACCAAGCTCTTTAAAGATTATCCCTAATAGGAATCAAATCTAAGAAAATTTAGATATTAAGCAAAGATCATTGGTGCAACTATCATTATCAAACACAAATCATGAAAGACACTCTCATGGGCATCGGCAATGCAAAAATAAATAAGGCAGTTCTCATTGCAGACAACCCCTATTAATTATGATATAGTGTTAAGTGCCTGGATGGAGCTTTGCTATTGGTGCAAGGGTAACAGAAGCCAGTGGAAGATTCCTAGGTATTCTCCTGTTTCCAGAAAGGATTATGCTTGTTTTATACCAGCCGTGGACATACCAGATTCCTAACTTCCCTCTGTGTTGCATTCCCATTCCTCCTCCATCACCTCAAGTGAAGACAATATCATGTTATCTCTGAATTAAGTAGCCATCTTTGCTATTTCCTTAAAGTGGTAACCTCAAAATTTTGCACTTGAGTTATTACTTAATTGCTTTAATCACATTTCTGGATATATAAGATATCACTTACTGTACTCATTAATTATAGGTCTACATATACAATTAAACACATGTAAAGATACATACTGTGGGAAAAAGACAAAGTTCCCCTATATTCATCATTTACTCTTGGCATTTAACACATTTCTTATCATTAGACATTTAGTATATTACTTTTCAAAGCTCACCGCAAACTTTTCCCACAAAACTGAAATCGGAGAAAAGGGGGATGATCCTGGAGCAGTCGAATAACCTCAAAATGGTAACAGCAAGTGGAAATATTGTCATAAAAACAGGTGTCCTCCAGACGACTTCCTCGAAAAGGAGCTCATGTTTTACTAAACCGTCTAAGAATTAAGAGAAAGCAAAAGCAGAGTGATTTTAAACATTGTCTTATTTCACAATGTGTTTGGTTCTTTATTTTTTTGTTTTTTCATAAAGAAATCAGACACACACAAAAAAAAATGCAGGCATGGTATTAAGAGGTAAGTAGCTCTAGGGTGAAGACCGCCTAGCAGAAACCAAAACAAAAGTGAACAATGGGTGACAGGACAGACCCTTCCGCATGTAGTTAACAAGGTGGGTTCCTGGGTCCCATCCACCCCCAAGCAAGCCCCGCCCACCCCCAGAGCACTGTGCAGAGCGTGTGTGCAGAGCGGGTGTGCGGCTCGGGAGCTGGAAGTCACCCAGTGGGAAGAAGACACAAGATTGTGGACCCAGAAGCCAAAGCCCGTTTCTTTCGAAGCCGCTCTGGCGCGGTTGGCCAGGAGCCTCCGGTACAGGGGCGTCCAATAAACTCCCCGCGCGGAATCCACTGCGGGGCCTGGCGGTGCAATGGTGGAGACAGCCCGGCGCCCCGACCCCGGCTGGTACGTGCCGGCAGCCCCCGCCCCGCAGTCTGCCCCCCCCCCCTTCCGACCCCGGTCTAACCGTCACCGCCCCGCCGCCCCGGCAGCCAAAACGCCGGCCAACAGTGGATTTGCCTGCCTCCCGCCGAGCCGCATGTCAAGACGCGGGAGATGCCTCCTCACGGAGCCCGCGACAGGAGATCCGGGGTAGCATGGGAAGAAATCGCCGCCGAAGCTTTCGAGGATGGGAGGGGGGTCCAGGAGGCGCTACAAAGGCGCGTGCGCGCACCAAGGCCGCCCGCGCGCCCCTCGGGTTTACGTCTGTTCGCCGCACGAGCGGAAGCCGGTGGACTCAGGAGCTGCTCAGGATTGGGCAGCGCGCAGGGCCGGGGCGGGCGCGAGCTTGGTGATTGGGCCGCGCGAAGGGCCGGGGCGGGCACGAGCCCGGTGATTGGGCGGGGCGGCGGCCAGCCCTGTGATTGGGCGGGGCGGCGGCGAGCCCGGTGATTGGGCGAGGCGGCGCGCCCTGGATTTGAAGCGGGGAAGCCGCGCTCCACAGCTCCGGAGGAGCTCAGCACTGCACGCACCCGCCCGAGGGAGGCCTTCACTCTGTATCTAAGCCAAAGGCGCCGCCTTGGAAGCCTTGGCCCACTTGGAAGTAATTCGGTTTGGAACCCCAAAGGGCCGTCAACCACCTTATACACAGAAATGTTTTTTTTTAATTTTTGTTGTTTATTTTCCCCCATTGCCTCTCCCCAGCTGCTCCCATCCCCCATCCCACACCTGTCCTCACCGCCTTTTTTTTTTTTTTTTTTTTGATTCTTTACAGAGAGGAAGGGAGAGAGACAGAGAATCATCGATCAGCTGCCTCTTAACACACCCACACACCCACTCCTGGGAATGTGCCCGCAACCAAGGTACATGCCCGTCTGGAATCAAACCTGGGACCCTCAGTCCACAGACCAACGCTCTATCCACTGAGCCAAACGGGCTCTGGCCGCCCTGATGTCTTGTGTCCGTCGGTTATGTTCATGTTTGCATACAAGTCCTTTGGCTGATCTCTTAAACCCCCCCCCCCTCCCCTGCCTTCTCTTGAGCTTTGCTTCATGTCTCAGGATCTATTTTTGTTCATCAGTTTATGTTCATTATCCTATACTAGAGTTCCAACACACAAAATGTGTGCATGGGTATGGCCCCAAGGCCTGGCCTGCGATCAGAGCCATCTTCCCTGGGTGCCGGCCCTGCTACCCCACCCCCACCCCCACCTGGTTCCCTGTTCACCATCTGCGGATCAGAGCCTGCCAGCCAGGGAAAGGGACCAGAGGTGGTCAGTGTGCCTCATAGTGTCTGGTCAAGCAGTCATTCTGCCACTAGGGTCAATTTGCATATTACCCTTTTGTTATAGAGTCATATGCAAATAGACCCATCGGCAGAACAACTGGTCACTATCAGGTGCATTGGCCATCAGGGGGCAGACGCTCAGCACAGGAGCTGCCCCCTGGTCAGTGCGCTCCCACAGAGGGAACACTGCTCAGCCAGAATCTGGGCTCATAGTAAGCCCAGTGGTGATGGCAGGAGCCTCTCCTGCCTCCGAGGCAGGTGGGCAATAAAGTCCCAGACTGCGAAAGGGCACAGGACTTCTTGGACTTCTTACACTCCCCCCCAACCCCCCCCCCCCCCCAGTGCACAAGATTGGGCCTCTAGTATTCCTGAAATACTAGATCACCCCCACCTGCCCTCCCTTGTGGGTCTGGTCCCTCCCAACTGCCCTCCCCTGCTGGCCAACTTGTGTCCACATGGGAACAGGATCTTTGACCCCATGGGGGCAACCAGCTTGTGTTGAGGTGATGGTCAATTTGCATATTACTCTTTTATTATATAGGATTGCTTTTAAATTTTGAAAGTATCATTTTAGGAAATAATCTAACCTCTGAAACATAATTTTATTAACCAATTTCACCAATAAATTCACTAATAAAATATTAAAGGGAAAGAAAATAATCTAATGTATACTAAGATTGAAAGTCAGTATGTGTCATTTCTACATGTTAGTCTACATATTGACTTTCTACCTTTTAAATAAATGTCACACCCATCCTCTAATTTTTTTATTATTTAGATTATTTTTTTAGCAACAAGCTTTACCAACTATCAAAAAGAATACATTTTATTTTTATAAAGCAACAGATTCATATACTTAAAATATATTTTATTAAATAATCTACTTGGAGAATAATTACAATAGCTTTAAACAGCAATTATATGTAATAAAAACAAAATTCCTTTGTTTAATAAAAAGACCAAACAGTCCATATTATGTTTTGCTGCTTTATACACAGGAATGATTTATTTTACAAACTGGTCAGTTTCAATATTAACCTATAAAATTAAAAGCATATTTCTTAATATGTATCAAAGGCAGAGTGAACTTTATAATGATATGCTTTCACATTAAACAATATGATAAACCATAAGAAACTTAACACCATGGTAGCAGTTCAAAGTAAAATTTACAGAATAGGCACTTTCAAGTCAGTTACTGGGTGTAATTCTCACAGTTGAATGTTACTTATACATATCTCATTTCATCAAAGGTTATCAACCAATGAAGAAATATTCCTTTGATGCAGAAGCACAAACATGTTTAGGTTCCAAACACTGTGTTCTGGTCCTAATACATGCAAGACAGACCCCATATTAGAAAAATCTTCTGAAAGAAAAGAGAAGAAAAACAAAAAGCAGCTAGAATGAAAGCATCTACAAGCACTGAAATAAAGTCTTTAAGTGTTAATTAAGCCCATGTTTTAAACCTCTTCATTCTCAGTTAAGGGATTAAGAGGCCTAGATAAAGATTGTCTGCATGGGTGAGGATACTGGAGGTTAGCAGTGTCAGCATCGCAAGAGTTCTCAACCAGAAGAGGAGGAAGAGAGGAAGGAGGAGAAGGAGAAGGAAGAAGCTGGGCATAATTGCACCATCTCGATTGAGCCTGTGGGGAATCCAGAAGGGGAAAGAAATACCTGAAAAAATGAAGACAGAAACAAGACACAAAAAAAAAAAAAAAAAAAAAAAAAACAGGAAAAGAAAAAGAGAAAAGTAGTAAATACAAAGGGAACCAAAGAGGAAAAAACAAATGCCAGCGGGAAATAGCTTTAATAGATTCATGCCAACCTAACAGAACACAGTATTATGCAAAAATCAAGACCCTTACTCAAATCATGCTTGCCTAAGCAAGTATAGAAACTTGAAAGAAAAAACTACAATCTGTTAAACCTAAAATGTTAAAAAAGAAAATTACCAGCATGAATGTTAAAAAAAAGACAATTACATAATTTAAAACATTTTTCTAACCTCTCAGAAACATTTGATGCAATCCTATAAATTTACAAATATAATAAGCTCTTAATTTAAGTAACGCTTCATTTGTAGTAGCAGCTGGCACATATTTCACATTTCTTAATGCAAACATGATACTGAAAACCAATTCAAATATACTTTCACAAAGTATAGCCAGTTATTGCAACATACTTTCAAAGAAATACAATCTGTGAATACACTTGGTTGGTTTCCTGCAAATCATGACAATAGTACAAAATTTTGCTAACTAAAAGGACTCAAAGAATATGACCTACTGCTGTTATTCTGACATTTAATTATAACTTATAATAATTATGCACTTTAGCAAACAAAAATTTATGGCTTTGTCTTCAAGGTCACAGCTCTATAAAATATTAACTACATGAAGCAGTCAACTAAATTAAGCAAATTCAGGAACAAGGAATGTGGAAGTTAATGTGCATGCACAATTTTAGCAAAACTTCAATTGCTTCTCTTACAGTCTGTTTCCAAATTTTGGCTTGAAGGAAATTTAAACCATAAAATCACACCATAAATATATACAAGCACATAAAAGAAACATTTATCTCTTTAGTGAATATGAATAAAAAACTTACAAAGGTGTTTTAATTGTACTACCAAATTATAAATGATGCAATACCAAATATTTAATTTGGCTACAAACTGTACAGTTCCATTTTACTACTACTATTCTCCACCTTTACTAATATTTTTTAAATATTACAAAGAAATGACAGTTGTATTGAATATCATGTTTAAACCAATTCTACAATTAGTAAACAGATTAGCACTCAAAACAATCTTTATGAAAAATATTTATTCAATCTTCAAATTAAAATTATAAAAATTCATCATTTTAGTTTACTGTTTTAGAAAAAAAAAAAAAAGAAATAAACCTTCATTCTCCAAATGGAATAAAGTTATATTTTCCCTCCTCCCAACTACTTATAAGGGTGATACTAAATCCTTTTCATTTTAAAAACCCATGTTAATTTCAGGAACATTTCCAAAAATTGTTTTGGTGACAATATCTCAACAAAAAGCCTCTCTATTTATATTTAAAAGTTTCAAATAGTATCAATAAACTGGCTAATACAAAAAAAAAAAAAAAAGATATATACTGTATTTTTAGAAGCTTTTTGGATTGCAGTTTAGTAGTAAGCAGGCTGCTGGTGTATCTTGGAAGAGGTCAAATGGCGCTGGGGAAGGGGGGAAGGAGCTCGCTTTCCATTCCTGTGTGCATGCAACAAGCAGCAAAACAGCAGAGTTACTCCAGTTAGCTGGGACTCAGCTGTGCTTTCTGTTAAAGGACATAATACAATTGGAGAAGGGAAAATGCATCACAGTTCTAACACACATGGGTATTAGCACAGTAAGAACAAATTTCAAAATTTCAAAGCTCTTTACAAAAGAAAATATGCAATACAAGCAACAACCTAAAACTAGATTTTGTGTTTTTTCCTTTTAATTTATACTAGTATTCTTTGCTTCTGGAATCATCTTTATAATCTGCTATCTTCTATGATAACCTAAAATTGTTTCCATGCAAATACTTAAACCTCAAAATCAAATAACAGGACTTCTTTATAAAAATACGACAATATAAAAATAGTTGACAAATTTTTTAATAAAATTCTTTTATTTAAGATGACAACAGGATAACCACAGGACAGTTTTTTAAGGCTGTGCTTTAAAGTTCCTAAATATTCCAAAGGCATATTAAAATAATTTTACCATACAAATTCACATATTTAAAATTTGAATACAAAAACAACAGTATGACTCTTTAGATCACATCAAATATTCAAGATCAATAATAATCTAAAATGTTAAAAATTCTAAAAAAATTAAGTACTTAGAATTTTTCTCATAGTCTCCATTAACATTTTAAACAACAAAAAATTAACTTATTCTCTTCTACAAAGCCTTAATTAATTCATTTTATTTAAGATTTCATTTTGACCCAACTCAAAGGCTACACTGCCAACAGTACTACTACACTAATAATCTATGGCTAAAATCCTCAGTATTATCCATATTTCCTCTTTACCTAAATTGCATAATATAATTTTGTTTGTATGGCTTCACAACCTACCTGTAAATATTATCACTAAATAATATTATGAATAGGTAAATTTCTTCAGTCTTAAAATCCATAAAATAACATGCCTTTAGTATGGCCACGAGAATGATTGAAAAATAAAATAATTTCTAGTTTTACCATAAAACAGCCTACCTGCCAGCAGAAGATCCATTTAATGAATTTTGAAGATTTGGGATATTTGAACCTAGTGAAGGATTTGGGTTTCCCTGCTGAGCACTCCCATTGACAGGGCTCCCGTTACCTTTCAAAATACCAGTACACTTCCAATTGTCCATATAATTAGCTGAAAGGAAAATGGTCAAATACATTAATACCTATGCTCAAGGGCACAAATCTATGTTCATGTCCTTAAACTACAGGCTACATGTCAGTCAGAATAAATGTTAAAGACATTTTAAAATACAAAACACTTATCTTAATTTTAATAATTACTTTTTAAAGTCTTAAAAGAATTACTAATTTAACAAATAAATCTTTCCCTTCCCACTTCCCTTCCTCGAAGATAATTCTCTAAGATGCCACATATTACAATAAGTTAATATCAAGATAAATCATTTATCTTCATTATTACAAGTTTCAATTACATGTATATGTAGGGTAATGGAACCATCAAATGGTTATGCAAGTATAAGTCAAATGAGTACCCAATGTCCTCAGAGATGGATATAGGAAACAAAACCTTTGGGTTTGAGTGGCTTATCCAAAATGGCTTAATTCTTTGCATGCAAAATTGGTCACTGGAGACATTGAACCGAAGGAAACCCAAGTTAGGGAGCCTGCTGAAGCTAGTGGCCTCACTAAAGCCCAGAGGCAGAAAAGGGCATCAAAGCCTGTGAAATCAAATTACTCTTTAGAAAGAGAAGTCTGGGCCACTTCTACCACAGCCTAAAACTGACATAAACCAAACTGCATTTTTGGGAAACAATAACTGTTCAAGATAAATGAACTAACTTACAATTTTGGATCCAAGGTATGGAAAGACACTGACTAGAGTGGTGCACAAATCAAAGACACCTCTGCCCAGTGGGTAAATAACTGTGCGAAAGTGCACACCACACTACGGCAACCACAGAGTCAGCTAATCAGACCACAGTCTCTCTCAGCGTGGCATTTGTAAGAAACTTTAGAATCAGTGGATAATTCTTGAACTTTTGGGAGTTGCAGGGTGGAAGTGAGGAACGTGTTGGATTTTCTCCTATTAATAGCTGGTTGGCTAAAGCAATTATTTAATAAAATAAGAGATGACTCTAATCCTTATCCTAAATTTACACAAGTTACACATATAGCAAACAGTATTTTAGAGATACTGCATATTTCTGTGGCAGTTACTTTCAGTTTTAAAAGTTGCTTTGTTGCCCGACCCGTGTTGCTTAGTGCTTGAGCATCAACCAATGAAACAGGAGATCACAGTTTGATTCCCAAATCGGACATATGCTCAGATGGTGGGTTAGATCCCCATGGGGGGTGTTCAGGAGGAAATCAATCAATGATTCTCTTTCATCACTGATGTTTCTAAATCTCTCTCTCTCTCCCTCTTCCTCTCTGAAATCAATAAAATATCTATACTAATAAAAGGGTAATATGCTAATTAGACCAGGAGAACTTCAGAACAAAGCCTCAGGGATTGGGTCTAAATTAGCAGTTGGACATCCCCCAAGGGGTCCTAGATTGGAGAGGGTACAGGCCAAGCTGAGGGACACCACCACCCCGTGCACCCACCAGTCTACATATATATAAAAGCCTAAATGACTGTTCAACTTATTGACCATTTGGTCATTATGATGTGCACCAACCACCAGGGGGCAGATGCTCAATGTAGAAGCTGATCTGTGGTGGTCAGTGCATTCCCATAGCAGGAGTACTGCTCAGCTGACCTATGAGTGCCAGATGCAGGGTTCATGGCTGGCCGCCGCCGCAGCCCAGAGAACGCAGCAGAGTGGCAGCGAGCCTACCAGGTGGCGGCAGCAGGTGTAGTGGGCCGGATGAGCAAAAGCGACAGGCAAGAGTGGCAGGCTGCACTGGACTGCCGGGTTTGGCTTGATCCCCGGAGGCCACACTGAGGGAACCCATCAGTGCACGAATCTGTGCACCAGGCCTCTAGTATATATATATAAAAAGTTGCTTTATTCCACACAGAGTCTTAAAAATAGTTCAATTAGTCTTTACTATGAACTAGGTAAAGTGATAAAGGTTCAAAATAAATTATATAAGACATAATTTAAAAGTAGCTATGGAAAGATAATTTTTTTCAAAATACTTAGTTTACAATTCTAACTGAAAATTCTAAAGCAGCAACATAAGGCAATAATTCTTCATCAAAATCTTACCTTTCCATAATCTTACACAGCCATCATCCCCTGAAGATGCTAGCACTGTTCCTGTTATATTCCAACTCACCCGCCAAACCTGAGAATTATGATTATCAAACTGAGCCACTATATGGATTTCAAATTTTGTTGGTCCACCAGAGGAAGTAAGTTCTTTCCTGTTAACAAAAAAAATTTCCTGAGTAATTCTGCAAACAGGTTCACACACACACACACACACACACACACTCACACAAAAACACACCTATCTAAACAATATATATATATATATATATATATATAGATATATGACCTCACTTACTTACCATATCCTATATAATATGCTAAGTGTCTGACCATTCGTACAACTGTTCCACCAGTTGCTATGATGTGCATTGACCACCAGGGGGCAGACATTCCTATCAGTAGGTTAGCTTGATGCTGGAGTCCGACTGATTGGGACTGGGCAAGATGGACTGAACACACCTTGGAGCCCTCCCAAGGTCCCTCCCAGGTCATGATTGGGTCCCTTGGCCTGGCCTGCACTCTCTCTCAATCTGGGACCCCTCTGGCATGTGGAAGAGCCGATTTTGGCCTGACCCTTGCAGTGAAGGACCGCATCTCGTTATTTTCTAGTAAGAAGAAAATAACTGGGCCTCTAGTTATTTTATAATAATGTGCATATCCATACTCTCCCCCGATTAGCTCAATGAGTTGTGTAATGTTCAACTGACTATAATACCTGGCATGATCCTACCACATAAAAGATAATGAAAGACTATTTCATAGAAAATACAATGAAAGAGGATTATATTCCCCCAAAGTACAGGAATAAAATAGATGAAATAATTCATTTTAAAAGAAAAGTAGTAGAAGCCCAGCCAGAAGGCTCAGATAGCTGGATCATTGACCACACACCAAAAGGTTCCTGGTTCAATTCCCCATCAGGGCATATAGATACCCAAGTAGTGGGTTGAATACCCAGTAAGGACTCCTGTCTGGGAGGCAACCAATCAGTTATTCTTTGACATAGATATTTCTCTCTCTTCCCCCCTCCCCTTCTTCTCTCTCTAAAATCAATACACAGTCTGCAGTCTTGGAGCCGCACTGGGTTGGTGGTATCCGAGGGCACACCAGACTTGTAGGAAAAGCATGCCCCGGAGGAAGCTGAGGAATGACTGCTCTAGAACCAGCCTTCCAGGTGCAATTTTCCTCTGATAGTTCCTGGGCACTGTTGCCACGGTGATAGTGACTGCCCGTGTCATTGTCTATCCAACAGTAAGAGAAACTTTGCAGTCGAGATAGTTTGACAGATGGAGTGGTTTCTGTTGGACACTAAGTACTGCTACAAATGATGGTTAAAAATAAATAAATAAATAAATAAATAAATAAATAAATAAATAAATAAATAAAGATAAAAAATAAAATAAAATCAATAAACAGCCCTAACTGGTTTGGCTTAGTGGACAGAGCATCAGCCTGCAGACTGAAAAGTCCCAGGTTTCATTCCGGTCAAGGGCATGTACCTTGGTTGTGGGCACATCCCCAGTGGGGTGGGTGCAGGAGGCAGCTGATCGATGTTTCTCTCTCATCGATGTTTCTAACACTCTCCCCGCCCCCACTTCCTCTCTGTAAAAAAAAACACAACAATATATTTTTTTAAAAAGTCAATAAACATAACCTTGAGTGAGGATTAAAAAGAAATAAAGCAATAGGAAGAGAATAGGGGGAGGAAAAAAATTACAAACTCACAATTCCAAAATTAAAGCTAAAAGATTACTCACAAGAATGTCTCAGTGTTAATTTAATTTTCCCTTAGACAACTACCTTCATTCAAACATTTATAGAATATCAATTATATTCAGAGAATCTAATTCATTGTTAGTATCAGTCTAAATAAAACATACAGTGAAACCCCGGTCTTGAACTTAATTCATTCTTGAAAGCTGTTCAAAAATCAAATCATTTTTTCCTATTAGAAATAATGTAAATTGAATTAATCCATTACACACCCACAAATGATTCCGTTTTGACCTTTCTTACATGCATTATATGTCTAATGTACTGTTTAATCTATAAATAAACACTTTAAAAGAAAAAGGACATGAAATATAAGTAAAAATTTATAAAAAGAAAATGAATGCGCAGTAAAAAATTACAATTTAATAAGTAGCAACAAAAGCCATAAAACACAGAAGTATTCACAGCACAATTTCCTGAGATGCTAATAATGTGAAATTTAGCAATAAACTGACTCATACTCGCACACACTCTTTTGTAGTCTGAGTGGGGGATGAGTGATCATAACAGGTATCAGCATGATAGGGTTGTTGGGTTGAGAAATGAATTTTCAAGATGGGAGATGTTCAAGAATCAAGGTTGGACTGTTATTAAAATGAAATGTTCATTAAAGAATACATTCTTCAGATCACAGTTGCCTCTACACTCTCCTCCACAAATGAAAATACCCAAGAGTTAAGAACACTTTTAAATTAGTAATTGTTTCAAAAACTCACCTCACAGGCTTTAATGTAAAAATTCTCACATCTTTGGTTGCAATGGCCAGAATGTGGTAAGACCTTCCCAAATTTGGAGCAAATGCAATATCATGGACAGGATCAGTAACTGTCATGAGGGTTTCAGCTTTTGCATATTTCCTAATGAAAAAACAAACAATTTTACATTAAAAATTCCAAAAATAAAAAATTCTTAAATCTACATGTTGACATACCTCTATTTTTATATTGCTCACAATGAATGTATATATCTGCAGTATGTAGTAAGTATGTCCAAATCCTAAACACTTAAATTGTGCATGTGACCTAATTTGGAAAAAGGGTCTTTGCAGATATAACTAAGAATCTGGGGATGAGAGCATCACCTAAATCCAATGTTGAATGTCCTTATAAAGAACAGAGAGGATAGACATATAAAGAATACAAACATATGAAGAGGCAGAGATTGGAGTTAGCGGCCACACACCAAGGACTCCTGCAGCCACTAGAAGCTTGAAGACACAAGGAAGGATTTTAGAAGAAGCACAGTCCTGACAACCCCTGGATTTCAGACTGCTGGACTCCAGAAATCTAAGAATAAATATTTTAAGCCACACTTTGTAGTGATGTGTTATTGTAGCCCTAAGAAACTTATAAAACTTCCCAGGTTTCTTCTGTTGACTTTTTAAAATTTAATTTAGAACACTTTTAAGAAAAACTTAATCAAAATGAGATCTTGGCCGAAACCGGTTTGGCTCAGTGGTAGAACGTCGATCTGCGGACTGAAGGATCCCAGGTTCAATTCCGGTCAAGGGCACGTACATTGGTTGTGGACACATTCCCGGGGGGGGGGGGGGGGGGGTGCAAGAGGCAGCTGGTCGATGTTTCTCTCTCATCAACGTTTCTAGCTATCTCTCTCCCTTCCTCTCTGTAAAAAATCAATAAAAATATATTAAAATGAGATCTTGAATTATTTTTTAAAAGGATAATTGAATTTCTTAAATACTTGAGTGTAAATAAAAAAGCAAAGCTGATAACAGGAATTGAGTGGGGGTTTATTAAGTGGTGATAAAGGAAGCTATTACATTATCCTTACTATTCTATTTTTATATCTGCAAATAAAGAACAAGACAATGAAGGAGACAGCATATCGGATTTTTCTATTACTTCTTTCTGTCTTCAAATGGCTATCAGGGATAGAACTGAGGTAGTGTGTGTTAGAGAGGAGGTTATCTTCCACCACTCACCTCTGAAATACAGGGTGTGGCAACAGTAGGCTTACAGTTGTTTGTATGGAAAATAATAAAACAATTAGTAAATACAAGAATAAACTCTGTTTTCCATAATTACAACTGTAAACCTATTTTTACGTCACTGTATTGGTGTTTCCAGTATTCTCTACTTGGCCTTCTTTTCATCACAACATTCTTTCTGAATTATCTCCAAGCTAGTATGCACTTTGAGGTTCCTTCCTTGACCTCTTTTCACCCTATATTGATCACCTTAAACAATCTTACATATTCCCTAGCTTTCCTATGTGGTCCTGACTCCTCTTTTTGACCTTGGACTAGACATTTTACTTTATTGGTCTCATTTTCTACATTTGGGAAATGGTGCTAATATAAAAGCTACCTCCCCTACCTACAAGATTAAAGTACTCTGTAACCTATATAAATGCAGGACACTTATTTGTATCATTTATCAAGGCCAGGTCAAAATTTTGTGCTCTGACAGGGAATTGAACGTCCACTCATTCTATAGATCTGCCTTTGGGGGAACCTTCCTGGCTTTCTCCCCCTAAGTGTAAACTCTTAATATCCTGATTCTCCTGGTTTACAAAATACATCACCATTTTTTATTTTATTGTTTGCTTGTTTTCCTTGCAAGATGGTACATACTGGGAAATCAATTACCTTGCCATCTGTATCATTCAATTTTATACTATCCCTAGAGGCCTGATGCATGGATTCGTGCACCAGTGGGGTCCCTTGGCCTGGCCGCCGGGCATCTCCTTAGAGGTCCCAGATTGTGAGAGAGCACAGGCTAGGGCGAGGGACCCCACCAATGCACGATCAGGGTCTGGGATGAACCAAAGAAGGGCTCCAACACATGTCCTGCCCATCTCACCTACTTCCGATTAGCCAGACCCAGCAGCAAGCTCACATACCAGTCGAATATCTGCCCCCTGGTGGACAGTGCACGTCATAGTGATTGGTGGTCATCTTCCACCACTCACCTCTGAAATACAGGGTGTGGCAACAGTAGGCTTACAGTTGTTTGTATAGAAAATGAACGGTTAGACACTTAGCCTATTAGGCTTTTATTATATAGGATAGTCTTATCACTGAACATGGCATATCATAGGAAATTAATAAATATGTAATAAATAATACATAATCCAGCCAATAAATAAAGGAATAACACTTTTAAAAATTAAACATTTTAAAAAGCTAACATTATTAAAATGCAATTTGGAACAACACTTAATGAAACCAGTACTGACCTGGTGTTTTCATTATATTCAAAAATCTGAACTTTGGCCATTGCATTTGGACTACTGTCATCACTTCCTACAGCTATCATGGGAGAATGAGCACGAGAGCTAGAAATGAAAAGCAAAAAATATTTCACATAATGTTAATTCAGAGAAGTTTAAAAGCTACATCCAGCAGCTCTAGAACCTGCAAGTAAGCAAGACTGTGATTAAATCCCTGCCATATATTCAACACAGCCGCACCTTGGGAGTGTGTCCTTGAGATTGCTCAGGGTAGGGACCATGGCTACCATCCTGCAGCATTGTTTTTACCACATTTTATTACTGCTAAAAAAATAAAATAAAAATAATAAAGTAGCTTCTTTTTCCACAAAAGAAAATGTTTCAGGCATTCAGTAGATTAAAAACAAAACACCTAAAAGGTCTTCAGATTTTTCTTCCTAAAAGATTTTGTCATTAACTATGGAAAGAAAAGTACCCTTATGGTAATTAAATTCTTGACAAAAAGATTTTAAGATGCTTAAACAAAAAGAAGAAACCCCTAAAGAAGGCATGCTCCCATGCTCCCAAATGGCATTTTCTTCTCTAAACTAATTTTAAAAAGCAAAAAGATAAGCAATAAGAGAATGAACTCTACTAAATTCTAGGCTAAATTATTTATTTCTATTCAATAAAATATCTAATTACCTATATATTGATTTCCTTTGCCTCCCTAAAAGGAAACAAAAAAATACCCAACCAGAAAAACAAAGAGAAAAAATAATCCAAAAATATGAAGACAGTGTAAGGAGTTCAGGGACAACTTTAAGCATACCAACATCTGAATTTTTGGGGGGTGCCAGAAGAGAGAGAGCAAAATATTGAAAACCTATTAGAAGAAATGACAGAAAACTGTCCCTACCTGGTGAAAGAAATAGACTTACAAGTTCAGGAAGCGTACAGAACCCCAAACAAGAGGAATCCAAAGAGGACCACACCAAGACACATCATAATTAAAATGCCAAGGGCAAAAGACAAAGAGAGAATCTTGAAAGCAGCAGGAGAAAAAGTAATTATGTACAAGAGTACCCATAGGAATGTCAGCTGATTTCTCAACAGAAACTATGCAGGCCAGAAGGGAGTGGCAAGAAATATTCAAAGTGATGAAAAGCAAGAACCTACAACCAAGATAACTCTACCCAGCAAAGCTATCATTCAGAATTGAAGGTCAGATAAAGAGTTTCACAGATAAGAAAAAGCTAAAGGAGTTCATCAACACCAAACCAGGATTATATGAAAATGCTAATGGGTATTCTTTAAGAAGAGGAAGAAGAAAAAGGTAAAGATAAAAATTATGAACAACAATCAAATACATATCTTCCAACAAGTAAATCTAAAAATCAAGTGAATAGCCGAAACTGGTTTGGCTCAGTGGATAGAGTGTCGGCCTGCAGACTGAAGAGTCCCAAGTTCGATTCCAGTCAAGGACATGTATGTTGGTTGTGGGCACATCCTCAGTGGAGGGTGTGCAGGAGGCAGCTGATCGATGTCTCTCATCGATGTTTCTAGCTCTCTATCCTTCTCCCTTCCTCTCTGTAAAAAATCAATAAAAATATATTTAAAAATAAAATAAAATAAAAATCAAGTGAATAAAAAATCTGAAGAACAAAATGGACTAGTGAATATAATAGAATCAGGGGCATAGAAAGGGAGTGGACTGACAATTCTCAGGGGGAAGTGCCTATCAGTATTTGCTGATAAAAATGCTGTGGTATGCCCTGACTAGTATGGTTCAGTAGATTAGGTATTGTCTTCTGCACTGAGAAGTTGCTAGTTCAATTCCTGGTAAGGACACCTACCCAGGTTACAAGCTTGATCCCCAGTAGAGGGTATTGCAAAAGACCTCAGATCAATGTTATGCTCTCACATGATGTTTCGCTCTTCCACCTTCCTCTTTCAAAAAAAAAAAAATCAACACTACTCTTTAAAAAATAAAATTAAATTAAAAACCTATAATACATTTACACAATGGAATATATACAGCTATAAAAAAGAAGGATCTCTTGCCCTGCCCAGTGTATGTTAGTGGTTAGAGCATTGGCCCAGGCACTGAAGGGTTACAGATTCTAATCCCAATCAAGAGCACATACAGTTTGAGTTTGATCCTAAGTCAGGGCATGTACAAGAGGCAACAGATCAATGTTTTTCTTTCCCATCAATGTTTATTTCTCTTTCTCAGTCTGTCTATCCCTTCCTCTCTCTAAAAATCATTAAAAACATTTTCTTGGGTGAGGATTTTTAAAAATTTACAATATGCTTTTCTACGATTAAATTATCAGAAGTTTGCTGTGCTAGCTTACCTTGAAGGGTTCCAAGAAATACAACTACAGCTTAGTTTGCATGAGATCTCATGCTGCAGAGACCACTGACTGAGATTCATGACATCTGGTGCCTCATATATTCTTACTATGCCATCCGCTGAACAGGTTGCTAACATAAGACCCATATGCTTAGGAGCAAATTTCACATCAGTAACAGATGTTCTGCTGTCCACTAGTGTTGTCCTCTTAACCTGAAAAAAAAAATTTAAAAATTAACAATTTAAATTATATACAATAGTTCCCTCCTTATCTGTGATTTCCCATTCTGTGGTTTCAGTTACTGGATGTCAAACACAGTCCAAAAATATTAAATGGACAATTCCAAAAATAAACAATAAGTTTTTAATTGGGTGCCATTCTGAGTATCAGAATAAAATCTCTCACCATCCAGCTAGGGACAGGAATCATCTCTTTATCCAGCATATCCAGAGCCCATTTCTACAGCTCACATCTACTTCTGTAACTTGCTAAATAAACTTTCTCTTATAGTCTAGCCTCTGAATTTTTTCTTAGTCAGAACTCAAATACTGAGGTTGCTGTCGAGGTCTGGTCTGACCCCACCCACGTGGTACCATTCTTTTATGTCTTTTATATATATGTGTTTATAGACACACATATATATGTATATGTATACACACACAAATACATATGTATATACATATATATTATTGATTTCAAAGAAGAAGAGAAAAAGGGAGAAACATCAATGATGAGAGGGAATTATTGATTTGCTGCCTCCCGCACACCCCCTACTAGGGACCGAGCCCACAACCTGGGCATGTACTCCTTAACGGAATTGAACCCGGGACCCCTGAGTCCACAGGCCAACACTCTATCCTCTAAGCCAAACTGGCTAGGGCTTTTTTTTTTTTTTTTTTTTTAAATATATTTTATTGATTTTTGTACAGAGAGGAAGGGAGAGAGATAGAGAGTTAGAAACATCGATGAGAGAGAGTCATCGATCAGCTGCCTCTTGCACACCCCCTACTGGGGATATGCCCGCAACCAAGGTACATGCCCTTGACCGGAATCGAACCCGGGACCTTTCAGTCCCCAAGCCGACGCTCTATCCATTGAGCCAAACCGGTCTCGGCCTGGCTAGGGCTTTTATATCCTTATAAAGACATGAAATATATCCAGAAGGATACACAAAAAATCTGTAATAGTGACTGCCTCTAGAAAGAAAACTGTATGACCAGAGAAGAGGACATTCCTACTATATACACTTGTCTGTACCTTTTTTTAATATATTTTATTAATGTTTTTACAGAGAGGAAGGAAAAGGGATAGAGAGCCAGAAACATCGATGAGAGATAAATATCGATCAGCTGACTCCTGCACACTCCCCACTGTGGATGTGCCCGCAACCAAGGTACATGCCCTTGACCAGAATCAAACCCGGAACCTCTCAGTCCGCAGGCCGACGCTCAATCCACTGAGCCAAACCGGTTTCGGCTGTCTGTACCTTTTGACTTTTATACTTATACCTCAATATCTATTATGAAAAATAAAGAGGGAGGAAGAAAACACTGGAATGGGTCTTCAAGGCAATCGAGTTCAATTCTCTCCTTTACAGACAGGGAACTTGATTAGCAAACACATTATGCTCTTATCTAAATTCAAACACTCAATCAAAGAAGAACTAGAGTTACAGCAGAAACAGAATTTAAAAAAAAAGGGAGGGGGAGTATAAGAGAGTATATTTTGTAAGAAGGAAAAAAACAATTTTTAAAGAATTTTAGAGTGTATTGTATGGCAAAGCAAATATTCTGGATTCACCATTAAAGTTATACTTCAACAATGCCATGAGTACTCCTAAGTACCACTTCAGGCCCAAAACAAAATGAGATAAACAGGAGAAAAACATGGAAGAAAGAACAATGACACTAATAAACACAGAGGGGAGTGAGAACATCTTACACCAAGTGCCTGAAGTGTCCATGGAAAGACTGATGCTCCTTGGATGCTCATGCCCCACATTTCTCAAAAACTAACAAATGTCTTACCCAATGACTCTGTCCTCGCAGTTTGTCATTTGATTCTCCTACTATTTCCTCCCAAACAGCAGCTGTTCGGTCAAAAGAGCAGGAAGCCAAAACCTGTCCAAATTCAGGATGAGCCCATGTCACACGCCACACAGATCCACTATGTGTCTGATGAATTAAAAACAAAAAAATGAGTTTACTCATGTTTCACACATTTAAGGTTTTACTTAAAGAAACAGAATACAGTTATTTTTACTTCAGTAAAAGAAGAAAGCTATTCAATTTAACATTAATAGAAAAATTTAAATTTTAAAACTTTTTAACTTAAGGATATTTAGAATTGTAGCCTTTTTGAAGTCAAGTTCTTCTAACATTTTACTAATAAAGAAAAATCCACTGGATAAAGCTAACCTCTTCGAGTGCTAATAGAGACCTCTTCAGAGTTTAGCCTAAACAAAGTTTTAGAGATCCTACTAGTTCACTAACTTTGCAAATTATATCTTCAGGAACCATCCACTTAATAAATAAGATTAATCAAAATTATTTGCTTCAAAGCCTAACAGTTTATAGAAACTACAGCAACAAAATATTTAAATGACTCTGATGTCTGTCTAGAGAATGGACTCTTCTAGGAAAAGAGGCAATGAGTGAACAAATATAGAGAAACCCAAATCCTTGTATTCTGAGAAAATAATTTAAATCTCAAAAGCAGTATCTTTATATAGGAAAAATGTCAAATTACTGTTCAACTCTTCGCACTGACCAAAGGAAAAAAAAAGGTCTGAAAGGTCTTCATGGCAGAATTTCATTTCTGCTTGCCAGTAAAAATACTATATGATAAGCATCAGTCCACCAATTATGTTTATAAAATTTGTTTTTTGCTTCTGCATATCTAACTCTTTAACACTCAATAATCTCAGAATACTTTCATAATCTGACCATGATAACAATATCATTATCCAAAAGCAAACCTTACATCTTCAGTTTTTATTCTGTTTTGTCCAGTCTTTTTTTTTTTTTTTAATATGTTATTGATTTTTTACAGAGAGGATGAGAGAGATAGAAAGTTAGAAACATCGATAAGAGAGAAACATCGATCAGCTGCCTCCTGCACACCCCCTACTGGGGATGTGCCCGCAACCAAGGCACATGCCCTTGACCGGAATCGAACCCAGGACCTTTCAGTTCGCAGGCCAACACTCTATCCACTGAGCCAAACCGGCTCGTCAAGTCTTATTCTTGTTTCACCTTTAATTCTTATTTATACAGGCTATTAAATAAAAAGATGTACTAAAGGCAGTGAGATTTTACTAAATGTCAGATTCCAGGTAAAGCACAATCTAGCTAAAGAATAAATATTGCACAAAGATGTTCATCACAATAAAAGGAAACAACTTTAATATCCATTGGTTAAGCAAAACAAGGTATAGTATTTATTGGTATGTTTATAAAAGCCTTTGAAAATACTCTGTACTTATGGAAGTAGTTGTAAAATTGAAAAGCAAAAAATGGGGTTTCCTTTTGGGAGGATTAAGCTTTGGAACTTGACAGAAGTGATAGTTGTACACTGTCAATGGAATAAATGCCACTGAACTGTTTTCTTTAAGATAATTAATTTTATGTTGTGTGAATCTCATCTCAATTTCAAAAAGGGAAGAGGGCAAAAGATTTGAATAGACACTTCACCAAAGGAGTATGAATGGCAAATAGGCACATAAAAACTTAAATCAACATCCTAGTCGTTAAGAGAATACAAATCAAAACCCAATGAGATAGCAATTCACTCCAACCAAGATGGCTATAATAAAAATAAAAGTGAGCCGAAACCAGTTTGGCTCAGTGGTAGAGCGTCGGTCTGCGGAATGAAAGGTCCCGGGTTCGATTCCGGTGAGGGGAATGTATGTTGGTTGCGGGCACGTCCCCAGTGGGGGGTGTGCAGGAGGCAGCTGGTCATTGTTTCTCTCTCATCGACGTTTCTGGCTCTCTGTCTCTCTCCCTTCCTCTCTGTAAAAATCAATAAAATATATTTTAAAAAATAATAAAAAATAAATAAAAGTGATCACCAAGACCGGTTTGGCTCAATGGATAGAGCGTCGGCTTGGGGACTAAAGGGACCCGGGTTCGATTCTGGTCAAGGGCATGTACCTTGGTTGCGGGCATATCCCCGGTAGGGGGTGTGCAAGAGGCAGCTGATCGATGACTCTCTCTCATCGATGTTTCTAGCTCTCTATCTCTCTCCCTTCCTCTCTGTACAAAATCAATAAAATATATATTTTTTTAAAAAAGTGAAAAAATACCAAGTGTATGGGATGATGTACACAAACTGGAAGCCTCATATATTTCTTGGTGGGAATATAAAATGGAACAGGCACTTTTGAAAACAGTTTGGCAGTTTCTTAGAAAATTAAAACATATACAACCCAGCCATTCCACTCCTCGGTATTTACCTAAGAGAAATAAAAATGTATGTACACACAAAGACTTATATGACATGTCAATGACAGCATTATTCATAATTATGAAGAACTAAAAATAATCCAAATGTCTATCAACTAGTGAATGAGTAAACAAAACAGGGCTTTCTCTATACAATGGAATACTCCTCAGCATTACAAAAACTCAAACTACTTACACATGCCACAACATGGGTAAGCCTTAAAAACATGCTAAGAGAAAGTAGTCAGAAACAAAGAACTACATATTATAGAATACCATTTATCTAAAAAGTATATAAAAAAAAAATTAAAGCTATAAGAGAAAATAGTTCAGTGGTTGCCTGGAGCTTGAGAGAGAAAAAAAATAAGCACAAGGGAAATTTCAGGGCTGAGGAAGATGTTTTAAAACTAGATTTGGGGCCCTAACTGGTCTGACTCAGTGGATGAGCATAGGCCTGTGGACTGAAAGAAAGGTCCAGGTTCAATTCCAGTCAAGGGCATGTACCTTGGTTGCAGGCACTTCCCCAGTAGAAGGTGTGCAGGAGGCAGGTGATCAATGTTTCTCTCGGATCAATGTTTTAAACTTCTCTATCTCTCTCTCTATCCCCTCCTCTCTTAGAAAATCAATAAAATGTATTTAAAAAAAAAAAAAAAAAAAAACTAGATTGTGGGGATGTTTGCACAATTTTACTAAAACTTACTGAACTATACACTTAAAATTGATGACTCTTAAGGTATGTAAAATCCTGAGTGAAGTGGTTTTTTAAAAAAATTAATAAAAGTGCCAAAACCAGTCGAAACCGGTTTGGCTCAGTGGATAGAGCATCGGCCTGGGGACTGAAAGTTCCCGGGTTCGATTCTGGTCAAGGGCATGTACCTTGGTTGCGGGCATATCCCCAGTAGGGGTTATGCAAGAGGCAGCTGATCAATGATTCTCTCTCATCGATGTTTCTAACTTTCTATCCCTCTCTCTTCCTCTCTGTAAAAAAAAAAAAATCAATAAAATATATTAAAAAAAAAAAAAAAAGTGCCAAAACCAGTTTGGCACAGTGGATAGAGCGTCAGCCTGCAAACTGAAAGGTCCCAGGTTCAATTCCAGTCAAGGGCATGAACCTTGGTTGCGGGCACATCCCAGTAGGGGGTGTGCAGGAGGCAGCTGATCAATGTTTCTAACTATCCCTCTCCCTTTCTATAAAAAAAAAAAAAAAATCAATAAAATATATATATATATATATATATATTTTAAAAAGTATATGAAACATCATAGCTATTGAAAATATGTAAACAGAAAATTATACTAACATATTAAATATAATTATGTTAGAATGCTATGGAACTACAAGTTCTCTTATTCTCAAATTTTCTAAAGTGTATTCTATTACTTTTATACTGAAAAATGTAAAATCCCTTTTTAGGAAAAGAAGAATAAATTTTATAATTCTCCCAAAGCTGAACAGCAAAGTCACTGATACTTCCAAATAGATAATAAATAATTCAATTTTTTTTTAATTATTGTAAAAATAAATACTAACCTTCCAGCTAGCAGTACAATGCCAATCTCCACTTTCACTTTTATCCCAGACCTATAAAAAAATTAAAAGACATATATTTCATTCAAAGAACAACAAAAAATTAATATGAAAAACATTAAGACTAAATTAATATTAGGGCAAAGAAGGTGAACATGAATTCACAAGAGAATAAGCAAACATCCATTCTTTCATCCAAATATTTATTGAGAACCTTGGATGTCAGGCCCCAGGCTAATAAGCTCTGGGTGGGATCAAGGCACCTTGAGCTCTAATAGGAAATAGACACAATTACAATTACAGTCAAGTCTTATTCAAGGTAATTAGGGTTTCTATGTTGACATAAACACTAAGTTAGTGAATACTGTACCATTGCTCCTAAGAGAAATACAAAAATAAATGAATGAGACTACATCAAATTAAAGAGTTTCTGCACAGAAAAAGAAATCAACAAAACAAAAAAGCAACAAACCAAATGGGTGAAGATAATGTGCAAACAATACCTCCAAAAAAAAGGCTAATATCCAAAATATATAAAGAACTCAAACAACCCCACAACAAAACAATCCAATTTAAAAAACGGGCAGAGGACCTGAACATTTTTCCCATTAAGACATACAGACAGCCAACGGATACATGAACAGATGCTCAACTTTAAGGGAAAAGCAAGTCAAAACCACAATGAAATACCACCTGTTAGAATACCTACTAGCAATAAGACAAGAAATAACAAATGTTGGAGATGATGTGATGTGAAAAAAAGGGAACCCTCATTCTCTGCTGGTGGGAATGTAAACTGGTGGAGCCTCTATGGAAAACAATATGAAGGTTCCTCAAAAAATTAAGAATAGAGCTAACCGTATGACCCAGCAATCCCTCTTCTGGGTATCTACTCAAAAATTTTGAAAACATTTATTTGTAAAGATATATGTACCTCTATGTTCACAGCAGCATTATTCACACTAGCCAAGGCATAGAAACAATGTAAAAGTGTCCTTCAACAGATGGCTGGATAAAGATATGGTACATATATACAATGAAATATTACTCAGATGTAAGAAAAAAAATGAAATACTGCCATTTGCAAAAACATGAATGGATCTTGAGAGTATCATGCTAAGTGAAATAAGTCAAACAAAAAGGACAAGAAACATGATTTCACTCATATGTGCAATATAAAAAAGAAGCAACAAATGAACAAACTGAAAGACATGGAACAATACTAGTAGAATGGTGGTTACCAGAGGGAAGGGCTGGTAAGGGAAAGATAAAGAGAGTAAAGTTGGGGGGGGTTGAGGACAAATATGTGATACCTTAATCAATAAAGAAATTTAAAAAAAGAGAGAGAGAAAAGTAGGTCAAATATATGATGACATGAGACTTTGGGTCATGAACACACAATGCAAAACACAGATGATGTATTACAGCATTGTACACCTGAAACTTACATAATATTATTAACCAATGTTACACTAATAAAATTAATTTAAAACACAAATAAATAATAAAATTCAGAGTCTCAAGGAGATATCTGTACACCACATTCATAGCAACATTTTTCACAATAGCTAAAATGTAGAAGCCCAAGTCCATGGGCAGATTAGTAAGTAAAATGTGGTATATACAATACATATGGACTATTCAGCCTTAAAAAGAAAATTCTGACACATGCTACAACATTCAAAGACATTACACTAAGTGAAATAATCCGGTTACAAAAAATACAAGTGTATGATTCCACTTATATGAGGTCGTCAAATTCACAGAAGCAAAAAGGGGGCTGGGGAATGGGGAGCTTTTATTTAATACAGAATTTCAGTTTTGCAAAACCAAAAAGTTCTGGAGGTGGATGGTTGCAGAAAGATATGAATGTACCTGATATTACTTACTATACACTTAAAAATGGACAAGATGGTAAATTTCATTTTATGTAAGGTAGCAAATTGGATTTTACCACATAAAAACATTTAAATGGCCGGGTCCGGTTTGGCTCAGTGGATAGAGCATCGGCCTGCGGACTGAAAGGTCCCGGGTTCGATTCCGGTCAAGGGCATGTACCTTGGTTGTGGGCACATCCCCATTAGGGGGTGTGCAAGAGGCAGCTGATCGATGATTCTTTCTCATCGATGTTTCTGACTATCCTTCTCTCTTCCTCTCTGTGAAAAATCAATAAAATATATTTTTTTAAAAACACATTTAAATGAAAAAAAAAAAAAAAAACATAATTATAATGCCTGACATGGAAAATGATCCTATCAAATCAATACTCTCACTGGCAATTTGCCAATTATTTTCAAATGCTTTTAAAGTATTTACTAATTTCTCTGCTGGTATGAACGTAAGGAAACTATCCAAAATATATAAAAAGCTAAAATAATGAAGATCTTCACTGCACACTAATAGAAAAAAACCTCTGATTTGAGTGATCTATTACTGATAATTCAGTAATAAGTGGATAAGAAAAAAAAAAGTACCTACTCACTTAACAGACATGAATGCAATATTCACAATAGCCAAAAGGTAGATGAACAAACCTTCATCTCTACCTATTGGCTATTGTATACATACAAAATATTACATACAAAATATTACTCAATCTTAAAAATGAAATTCTGATACATGCCATAAATACGAATGAACCTTGAAAACATCACAATAAGGTAAATAAGCCAGACACAAAAGGTCAAATGGTGTATGCCATTTATATGAAGTACGAGAAAGAGCACTAGAGGTGACCAGGTGCTAGGTGGAGAATGGAAGAGGGAGTTACTACGTACAGAGTTTCTGTTTAGGATGAAGAAAAAGTAGTACTCGAGATGTACAGTGGCGATGGGCTGCTCAATGAAAATGTTGTGCTTAACACCACGGAACTGTCATGTACAATTTAAAATGGTTAATGTAGCCTAATACTCCCCAGATCCATCCATCCTGTCTCAAAGGGTAAGAGATCAACACTCCCAAGTGCTAGATGGTAAGTAGAGAACCTCACTGGGTGGAAGTGGATTTGCTTCTTTTTTTTTTTTTTTTTTTTTACACAGAAGGTGGTATAGCAAAGATGTCAATTTATTAAAGAACAAGTACAGCCGAAACCGGTTTGGCTCAGTGGATAGATAGAGCGTCAGCCTACAGACTGAAAAGTCCCAGGTTCGATTCCGGTCAAGGCCATGTGCCTTGGTTGCGGACACATCCCCAGTAGGAGGTGTGCAGGAGGCAGCTGATCGATAATTCTCTCTCATCGATGTTTCTAACTCTCTATCCCTCTTCCTTCCTCTTTGTAAAAATCAATAAACTATATATATATATATATATATATATATATATATATATATATATATATATATATATATAAAGAACAAGTACAGACTCCCACGTGGGGAGGAGGAAACAGTCCCCTGGATTTGCATTTTTCTTTCAACGCGAAATAAGGTGAGCCTCCTATCTGAACACAAGGCAAGGATCATCGCCCCAGGTGAGGCGCCCAGAACTTGGGAACACACCGCGAACTGACTCCCCTACAGGTTCCACGGCCCAGTCCCCGCACTGAGCAAGCTTCGTATTACGACCATCGTACAACCCCGACTGGAGACTACGCTCCGGAAGCTCCCTGGCTCCCTGGCTCCCACCCACAGGGACCGGGACGAGGGTTCGCGGGAAACCCGCGGGCTCCCAGCGGCCCCAGGGGCGGGAGCGCGCACGTGGCCAGGACGCCCGCCCGCCCGCTCAGCACTGGCGCACCCAGCACCCCGGGGCGGCCGTGTACCCCACTGAAGGGGGCGAGGTTGGCCGGGCGCGGCTGGCCTGCCTCCCTTGGGGTTCCAGGCCTGGTGCCCGGCGGCGCGCCTCCATATCGGAAGCCGTCCCCCTTTCTACGCGCGGGAGCCTCCCCTCCACCAGCGGATCACGCGCGCTCCACGCTCCTCCTTCCGGGATCGGCCGCGCCCGAAGGCTCCGCGCGCACCTTGACGCTCTGGTCGCTGGAGCAGGTCGCCATCCGCCGCCCGTGGAAATCGAAAGATACATCGTGGATGAGGTCCTTGTGGTCCGCCGCGATGCTGCGTGCCACAAACATGGCTCCCGCCGGCCCGAGCCTTTCTCCGTCCGCCCCTCCCGCGTCGGAGGAGGGCAGCCGCGGCCACGCGCGGACCTCGGCCCACCTGGACCCCGCGGGCCGGACGTGCGCGGTGCGTGCGGCCTGCGCGCCCCCGGCCCCGCCCCTCGTCCCGGCATGCCCCTGGCGGCGGCGAGTGCGCCTGCGTCTCCTGAAGGCGACCAATCGTCAACAGCCGCGGAACGCAGGGGGCGGGCTTTGCGGTGCTCAATGAAAGTGACAAGTTTACATTGTTGAAGTTTGAGAATGAAGAACAATGGGAAAGTTAAAAATACCGTCCACAGCCCGAGACGTTGGGTGGGTTTTGGTCAACGTTCCAATTTGTTTCCACCGAAATGGGGGCCGAGTGTTCCGAGCGAGTGGAGAAGACGGGCTTGAATTTGGCGAGGAATGGGGCTTGGCGGCGACAATTATAAAGAGCGGGAAAGAGCCGGCACCGGTTTGGCTCAGTGGATAGAGCGTCGGCTTGCGGACTGAAGGGTCCCGGTTCGATTCCGGTCAAGGACATGTACCTTGGTTGCGGGCACATCCCCAGTGGGGAGTATGCAAGAGGCAGCTGGTCGATGATTCTCTCTCATCGATGTTTCTAACTCTCTATCCCTCTCTCTTCCTCTCTGTGAAAAATCAATAAAATATATTTAAAAAAAAAAAAAAAAAAAAAAAGGCGGGAAAGAATGTAGAGACGCCTGGAGATCCGACTGTGGAGTCCGGGCTCGTGGAGTCCGGGCTCAGTAGCGGATAAATGAAGGCAGGAGGGATGGAATTGAGAAGGAGAAAGTGAGTGATGATGGAGGTCTGAGAGCAGATGTGCTGAGCGAGAGAGGAGGTGGAGAGGGTCAGAAGTCGCCAAAATGTTTAAATATTCCACAAGTAGAACAGTCAGGAAGCCGAAACATTGGTGTATGGGAACGACATTCTACCCAACTGAGCTACTCTGCCATATCTCTCTCTTGAAGGTGGGAGGGTATCTTAGGGTTTCCCCAGAATATCCATCCCTTTTCCATCTGTGCCCCTTCAGGGTCCCAGGTTCTCCTGAATGGTGAGCACCAGAGCTGGGGGTCATATAAGTCATTGCAGGTAGTCCTGATTTTGCTGCTTTTCTTGGCCTGGAGCTGAAATACAACTGAGGCCTAGATGTTATCTTTAGGGAGGTGATCTTCTATATCTGGCTGTAAATTGCTCAGCCAGTTTGTTCAACTATCTCAGTTTCCCCATTCTACTTGCCAAGGAATTTTTCCTAGCTTCTTACTATCCTGCCTGTCTTACTATATCCCCCCACCATTCTGGAGCAGAAGTCTTGATCGAATGGTGGAATGGCTTTCTGAAAGACTCAGCTATAATGCTGGTAAGGGGACAATACACTGTTCTCCAGGAGGCTGTAAAAGCTCTAAATCAGTGTCCAATATATGGTGCTTTTTTTTCCCATAACAAGAATCAATTGATTGGAGGGGAACTATGGGGGGGGGGGGAATACCTGTAATAATCTGAACAATAAATATTACATATTTTTTAAAAAAAAGAATTGAGCCAAGACCTGTTTGGCTCAGTGGATAGAGCCTCAGCCTGTGGACTGAAGAGTCCCAGATTCGATTCCAGTCAAGGGCATGTACCTTGGTTGTGGGCACATCCCCAGTAGGGGGTGTGCAGGAGGCAGCTGATTGATGTTTCTCTCTCTTCGATGGTTCTAACTCTCCCTTCCTCTCTGTAAGAAATCAATAAAATACTATATTTAAAAAAAAAGAATTGAAACCAATATAATACCTTAATAAAAAAATGAAGGGAAAAAATCAATTGGGGGAGGGGGGGCGCGGGTAGGGCAGAGGGAAACTAAATGAGCACTACTCAATATTAACCAACTAGTAAAATGTTTGCTTCCTGTCCCATCACCTTATGTGCTGCTGGTTTCAAAGGAAATCTTTGTTTCAAAAGAAGGTATGATACTACAATATTTTATGCTAAGAACTTAAGCAACAGAGACACAGCAATCCCATTGAAATGGAAGTTAAGACTGCTGTCCAACCACTTTGGGCTCCTCACATCTCTGAATTAGCAGGAAAAGAAGGTAGTCAATCTACTGTCTGGGGTAATTGCTCCTCACTACTAAGGAAAAAATGAGCTGCTATTCCACAATGGAGGTAAGGAATAGTATGTTTGGAACATAGTGACCCTAGTGTTACAGAAAACCGAAGAAGAACAAAGCAATACTTAGAGAGATGGAGTTACATTTATTACACGTGCAAGTCCAGAGGAAAATGTCTCTCAAATTCTGGGCCTAAACATGCAGGAATTTTCCCTATTTATATCTTTTTATCCTCTTTGTTTCCCAAATATGGAGTGTTTCTGGCCCCTTTTTCGAGTTCTTTTTTATTTATTTTTTATTTTTTTATTTTTTTAATATATTTTTATTGATTTTGTACAGAGAGGAAGGGAGAGAGATAGAGTTAGAAACATCGATGAGAGAGAGTCATCGATCAGCCGCCTCCTGCACACCCCCCACCGGGGATATGCCCACAACCAAGGTACATGCCCTTGACCGGAATTGAACCCGGGACCCTTCAGTCCCCAAGCCGATGCTCTATCCATTGAGCCAAACCGGTTTTGGCTTGAGCCAAACCGGTTTTGGCCCTTTATCGAGTTCTTAAAGAGCCCATATGTACTGGGGCCTTGAGACCTCAACCAGAGGCCTGGCCTGGCGCCAGCACTGATAACCTTGTCTGGGGAAGGTTTAATGGCTACTCTGAAGTGGAAGGAGTCTTAGCAAGCAAGAATTTACAGAAGTCAAACAGCAGGGTTAAAATTTCAAACAGCAGTTTTTATATAAGATGGATGCTTCACTAGGGTGCCTATTTGTATTAACATGCCCTGGCATTAAGATCGGTGGAAAACTTCAACAATCCAGTCAGGTCTACTAATGCCAGGAATGAAGGTTTGGGTCACACATCAGGCAAAGAACCACTTTCCAGCTAAAATGGCCTGCTAAGACAAAGGGAATGTAGAGTAGGTAGTAGAAGGTAGCAATAAATACCAGCTACAACCTTATGACCAGTTCTAGAAATAAGGACAGTAATTGTTAGCATGTGTGTGTATGTGTGTGTGTGTGTATAGTAAATATCTTTGTCTTCCCCTCATTCCCTTATTATATGACATAAGATCTATTAACTTTTACATGCTGGTATTTATTGTTAATTTTGCATTATGACACTTAAGTCATGGAACATCAAGGTGAAGAGTAAATATCACTCAAGGGCTTTGCATCTCTCCTGGTGAAAGGGTTAAGAAGGTATGTAAAAGTGCCAAGATGTGTGTCAACTTGGCTAGGTTACAGTGCCCAATCTAGATGTTGCTGTGAAAGTATTTTGTAGGTATGATTTTTTAAAAATATTTTTTATTGATTTCAGAAAGGAAGGGAGGAGGAGATATAGAAATACCAATGATGAGAGAATTATTGATCAGCTGCCTTCTATATGCCCCTGACTGGGGACCAAGCCTGCAACCCAGGCATTTGGCCTGACCTGGAATCAAACTGTGACCTCCTACTTCACAGGTTGATACTCAACCAGAGCCACACCAACTGGGCTATAGATGTTATTAACATCTATAATCGGTTGACTTTAAGTAAAGGAGATTACCTTCAATAGAGCGGATAGACCTCATCTATTCATTTGAAAGCATAAAGAGCAAAGGGTAAAGTTTTTCCGAAGGTAGAATAGAAAATCTGCCTCAAGACTGTAACATAAAAGTTCTGCCTGAGCCGAAACCGGTTTGGCTCAGTGGATAGAGCATAGGCCTGCGGACTGAGGGGTCCCGGGTTTGATTTCGGTCAGGGACATGTACCTTGGTTGTGGGCATATCCCCAGTGAGGGGTGTACAGGAGGCGGCTGATCGATGTTTCTGGCTCTCTCTCCCTTTCTATCTGTAAAAAAAAAAAATCAATAAAATATATATATTTTTTAAAAGTCCTGTCTAAACCAAAACCAGTTTGGCTCAGTGGTAGAGCGTCAGCCTGCGGACTGAGAGGTCCTGGGTTCGATTCCAGTCAAGGGCATGTACCTTGGTTTTGGGCACATCCCCGGTAGGGGGTGTGCAAGAGGCAGCTGATCAATATCTCTCTCTCATCGATGTTTCTAACTCTCTCTATCCCTCTCCCTCTCTGGAAAAAATCAATAAAATATATTTTTTTAAAAATAAAAAGAAGTCCTGTCTGAAATTCTATCTACCAGCCTTACCTACCTACAGATTTTAGATTTGCCAGTCCTAGCAATCACATGAACTGATTCCTTAAAATTAATCCCTTTAAATAAATCCTTACATGTATATCTTTTTAAGTAATGCATTTATATGTATGAATACATATTTACAAAATTATCTTTATATAAAGATATTTAAACCTATAAATAAAATTATTTTAAGGAATTTAAATACATGTTCTATTGGTTCTGTTTTTCTGGAAAAATCTGATACAATTAATTTCACCTGGTTTTGTACTTTCTGTAAATGATACAATATATACTTTCTCCATCTTGCTTCTTTTGTTCCTCATTATATTTGTAAGATTCACCCCTACTTTGCATGGATCACTCCCCCGTCTGTGCTGTCTAGAGCGCCTCGTTAGACAGTAGCCTGTAGGTGGCACTAAAACATCTCATATGGAACTTGGAAATGTCCTTTAACTGCAGATTCCAAGTATCAACATCTGAAATTTTCCATGGTCTATAATATAGCAGACAACATATCATCAAATTGGAAATGAGGTATTTTTAACACATTTTTATTTATTTCAGAGAGGAAGGGAGAGGGAGATAGAAATAGAAGCATCAATAATGAGAAAGAATCATTGATGGGCTGCCTCCTGTGCACCCCCTACTGGGGATCGAGCCTTCAACCAGGGCATTTGCCCTTGACAACAATCAAAACTGGGGCCCTCCAGTCTACAGGCCAATGCTCTATCCACTGAGCAAAAC